TGTTATCATTTAATCTTTTATAATTCATAACCATACGAATTTTTTCTCTTTTTATTTCGGTATGATTTCTAACAATAAAAACTGGACTCCTATGTCTACTATTACTTTTTCGTATTACTTTTAGCAATAAAAGTTCTTTAATTTGTGTTTGGAATTCTTACTGATCATATAAGGTATGAGGATTATCTTGTGTTTTTATAGTTATGAAAGGATTTATTATATTTAATTTGGCTTAAATTTTATTTTTGTACCAGTGTTTTTGGGGATCTTTTCCTAATATTTCAGTAGTTTCAGCTAGTCTTATAAGATTATCAATGTGTAATTTGAAATTTTTTAATATAACTTTATTATTAAGTAAAATCTTGGGTTCATCTGAGTGACTAAGAAACATTAAAGCTTCAGAAAAATCTTCTAAAAATTCTGTTACATCAAATAAATTTTCTGTAGTTTCTTCTGTCATAGGTAAAGTATTATCCTAAGTAATAACTCCTTTTTCTTTCTGATGAATATAAGGAGGGTAAGATGGAATAAATGTTCCTTTTTTAAAGAACTGTAAACCTGTAGGTGTATACATAAGTCCTCCGGTGAGTGAATTTATAAAATTTAATCTTAAGATAAAATCATAAGTGCTAGAAATATTATTAACTACATAAGTTTGAGGTAAGACAAACTATTCATTATTAATTAATATAGGAATGTTTTGGACACAATGGGTTATTGGAAGTTTTTCATTATTATACTGGCTCATGTTAACATTATAATTTAACTTTACTAAAGTTTTGTCTGGTACTAAATGTTTTTGAATTATACTTTTGGATGCTCTAGTATCAAGCATGGCTGAGGTTTGAACTAATTTTTCTCTAAATTCTAATGTGACCGGAATTGAATTAGACTAGATGGTATATATATTGAATTTATAGATTCGACTAGAATATCTTCTTACTTGCCTTCATATTTTGTATAGCAATCATGACATAATAAAGTTTTACAATGGTTTTCACAGTAACGACCCTTTTTAATAAATTTATTGCACTGTTTATAATTATAGGAAGAAAATTGAAAACTAACTAACCTATACTGACATGATAGATTACTTATAGTATAAACGAAATCTTCCATTCAATGTTATTATACGTGTAGACAAATAGATTTTCCACCCCAATATGGTTGTATGCCTCAGAAAAATTATAATTATAAGCGTAATAAACCTAAAAAATATAATCTACGCAAAAGTAAGACCTACAAAAACTATCGTAATAAAAAACCTTATGTCAAAACTAACCCTAGGCAATTTAGAAAGTGGCCTTGGTATAAAAAGCAAAAAATAAATAAAGATAAAAAGGATAATAAAGACAAAGATAATATGGTAAACACTTTACCCACAAAAGAATGACATTGCAAATGTTTTATTTGTGAAGATCCAGGACATATAAAACCAAATTGCCCTTATCGATACAAGCAGAACTCTATCAAAAGGATACAAGAAAAGATCAACATACTTGAAGATATTGAAAAACAAATAGAAGAATTATATGAACTAGAAAGTATTTTAAAGTATTATGATTCTGACGATGATAATGAAAGTATATATAGTATCGAAAGCTTAGATAGCAACTTTGATAATGATGAAGACTTTGAACAAAAGCTTCATTCAATGGAAGATTTCGTTAAATTATTAAAGTCTACTCTATTCATAAACTAATGGCCATTGTGATATTTGTTTATGAGGTTGTAATACTTTATTTATGAGAAAAGCAGTTAATCAGTATAGCTGCCTTTATCTTTATATTATGGAGAATTTGTTTTTTCTTGGCTACTCTAGAATTCTTGCATATTGGACAAATTTCTGTCAATTTTATGTCCTTTATTTTATCTGATAATTCAGATAACTTACCCAACTTTGACTTCAGTGGGATCAGAATGAATGTAAATTCGATGTTATCCCAGAATTATAGCTCCATCTTTTACCCATTCTGGGAGAGTACTGTAAATTTGAAGGAGAATTGGACTTTCTGGCATAAAATTTTGAGTAAGCTTTTGTTCAAAAACAATGACTTGGTTTAATCGGTTAGGGAAGTTACTTAAAGAATTTAGATATTCTAATGGCATATCTTTTGGTATGGTGACAGTATAGGAATTATTACAAATTTGTGATTTTAGATACATAAGAGATTATACCAATAAGTATTTTGAGTATTTTGCAGCTACTAATAAGACAGGCGATAAAACATTACTCGATAGATATCATCAGAAATTACCAGGAAGTGTAGGAACTAAAATATGGGAAAAATGGTTAAAAAAATCCTAGATGTGATACGCTAACCATAGGAGATAAAGTTAATCATGTGTATAATATGTTAAAAGCAGAATGTAGACAACGTAAAGAATCCAAACAAATCAAAAAACAATTTCCTCATAAACAATAGTCCACCCAAGTATACCCGTTATAACTATTTTTTCCTACGATTTATACAAACAGGAAACTCCGTACCTATGGCCATTATTTTGTTAGACGTAGACATTGTTTTCTTCTATCCTTTTGAAATAACCAGAAAAACCCTTTTCTCTACAAAAACAACTATCTGTTATTTAAGCAAGCTGTTACAACCCTGGTTTCAGACTCTACGACCATAATTTTAACATGAAAATTTTTGTCAAAGCAAGAATTCCTCACGTTATTAAGTTTCCTCCAGAGATTGAGATATCTCCAGAAGTTGAAGAAATAATAAATGAAGAAAAGATGTTGTTGGAACAATTTGATCTCGCCTATAGAAATGAAGAAACCAGCTCACCAGATAGCACTGATGCATATTTGGCCCGTGTACACAGAGATGACAACCCACCAAATAGTGTTTTTGACATAAATTTGTCCAATATGCAAGAATTTTAAAGTAGCTAAGAAAAAGCAGATTCTCCACAGTATAAAGATAAAGGCAGCTTCAGCAATCAAGAAAAGTAGATTCCCAACAGTGTACAGATTAAAGCAAATCCACCAAAAGTAGATTCCCAACAGTGTACAGATTAAAGCAAATCTACCGAAAGTAGATTCCCAACAGTAAAAGTTGATAAGACTCTCCAGAGGCCGACATCAATAGTTTAGCAATAATTCATGCCATCTTATCTCTAAAAAGTATCTTTCATCTCAACCGTCTATACAGCATCTTCAAGCTTAGCCGAAGATTCATCGTTCTCCTTTCCTATAAAAAGAACTTCTCGTCTAAAGTAAAGGATCATCGAGTTTTAGAGCAGTCAAGTTTAGAACCATCAAGCATTCCAGCCTTTAGTTTCTAGTGTGTTTTGTGACTTCTTTCAGTATATTTCCTTTGTAAAATATAGTGTGAGAGTGCATCCATGTATATATAAAATAAATCATCCAGTTTGTTCTTATTCAAAACTTCCTAATCCCAATTTAGTATTTTAAGTACTTTGGGGCAAAAGACTTCGGTTGACAAAAATATCAAATATATAGATTTTATTTAGTCAGACAGTGTAGATCCTAGAATTTTCTTGAATCCAACTAGTACAAACAGCCTTAGAATTAAATTGGCAATTTCTTGTATGAGTTGACTTGAACTGTTGGCTTGTTGGCCCGTTCTTGCCGGTGTTCAGGCGTTTTTACAGGGCGTTATCAGAGCATTATCAGGTTCGGTAGTCATTTCTGTGATTTAATTGTTAAATTTATTTTATGTTTATTTTGCATGCTTCTATTGTTGGATCCAACTCAATTTTGGTATCAGAGCCTACATTGTTTCGTTAAATTTAATTTATATATAAGATCTTTTGTCTAAAGAAGTCTACAAGTCCATATTAATCTATTGCGAATTTTAATATTAAAACGTTTGTTCCAGAATCTTTCGGAAAGCTTATTTTATGTTTTAAAGCTTTTATGATATAATCATATATTATGTTGGGTCAAAGTGACAATATAACTTGTTGTGTGGTCTAAAGTCGAATATCATTTCATTTTAGAGAAATAATTGTGTGGTCCTTTCGTTTGTAAGAAAAAGTTTGTGTGGTCCCCTCATTTTATTGATAAATCAAGAAGTTGACATCATTGCACTGTAGTATTTGGGCCTTAAGCCCATGTATCGGTAAAAATCTCTTTTTATAAAGCTAAAGATGGGACAAAAAAACAAAGTTGATGATGTCACCACATACATATGTATTTGGAGCATTAACTAATTCAATTGTCTATTTGTCAAAACTGTTGGAGTTAATCGTAATTTGACAACAGCAGCCGCGCACAAGGATATGTACTATATTTAAAATTACATTAAAATATTGTATTGGTACTATCCTAATGTTACAATTAAATCTCTCTCACCATAATTCATAATTTTATAATCCGCTGCAAGTTGGCCAGCAGAGGCCCGACAGCCGCCTTTCTATCTTTTTATAATCCTTTATAATTAAATAATAATGTTTTTTTTAAGTGAAAGAAACATTCAATAATACATGTTTTTTTTTCTTATTATTTTTCTTTTTTGCTTTATTTCTATTTTACAATGGTGTTTTTACTGGGCAGTAAGCGCCCACCAACACACCCACCTTTACCGACTGACGATGGAACATAACTACGGATACACACTTTATAATGAACCAAACTGAAAGCATCGAGCTAATGCCTCAGTCGTGTTCAAGCACCACACAAAGTCCAAAAAAATTTATATTACCTGGTCACACTAAAGATGATATATAACAATTTGGTGAATTATGATTATACTTTGGTTACTCTAAGAGGACCCAAGAGTTGTGTGATTTTCCTCAGCAATCCTGCTCAGTCCCACTGCTATCAATGGCATGCTTAGTTATATAACAAACATCACTCCCTAGAAACCATTGTCACTATTACACAACTCTCATTTCTATGAGAGTTGCACGGATCGGACTTCACGGATTAAAAAATCTCAATTAGGTTAAACCCACTTGCGGAACGAAGTCAACATCAAGTGCATAATGGTTTTTAGAGCGGTTCCTACAACCCAAAAGGAGTGGAAAACTTGATGAAAACCTAACAGTTCTGTATTTGAGGATATCCGACACATGTACAGGGGCCAAAATTGGATGTTTACATGTTTGATAAATTGATATACATATCCAGCGGGTACAGAAGCATATTCATTTTATAATCCTTGATAAACAGAGAATAAGCACAAATGCTATATCATTCGACAATGGGCCACTATCATCATATTCATCTCATCAGCTGCTCATCCGTTTTGTGTAAATCTTCTTCCCAATCCATTATGATTGTTTCTGTAACAACGTACAACAAGAGGGCAACAAACAATAAATATGAGACATTCCCTCGCTAAAAAGGAAAAATATAAAAAACACTAGAATTTTTATGAAATAAGTAAGCCACTTGGTTCTTTTGTCTACAGTCATTTGTTGCTGCCACTGAGGATAACTATCATTCTGTAACACAAAGCCACACCCCTACGATACCACAACACAACAGCTAATGTGGACAGTGGTACAGTATATTCAATAAGTCACGTAAATATGCAATACTTATTTTGGACGACAGTTACATCCACAATCTTGCATCCTATCTGCTGTCAGGAAATTTTGCCTCGTAATTCTGGGGCAGCTGCATGAATACAAATTATTTTTATTTCCATTGAAGAATAACAAGAAAAATGAACTAAGCACAAAAGTGCATTTATATGAAATTACCATAAACGTTGCAGTGATCATTTTCCCAGCAAACCATCTCCCGTGGAGGGAACGTTGGGCACCCTCGGCAGGTTGTGTATTTTCAAATCGCAGGTATACAAACCCAGCACTGTTCCTGTATGTCAAAGAAAAGGGGAGCAACAGTACATCAATTTATGCTTATCAATTCTGAAAGCAGGTATTTTGGTTTTTAAACGTGTTGATAGTTGCCACTAAACATGTGACTAAACCACAATACTTGCTAAGTCCAAAGATCCTGTGGGGGCTGGTACCAAAGGGAGGGGAGTCAGCCCAAGGACCTTTGCTACATGAGGCTCGTTTCCAGCCGATTGTCCTAATCCCCTTGGGGTCTCCCACTTATTTAAACACGGAAAGGATGCATCTGCTAAACACTAATTAATATCAACAGCCTCTTCTGGGCTTAAAAATAGTCAAATTCCTCAAAACACTTAATCTAGGAAACTTCTACGATGTACAAAGGAACCATGCATTTTCATAGTAATATATAAAACACAAAATACTGGCCTACTGGGTGTTCTAGGTGTCATCTCATCAAGTATAGGTAGCCAAGAAGATTTAATTTTGGGATCACAAAAATCATTATCACTGATAAAAGAGTTCAAAAATAAAGTTGTTACTGGAAATGATGAAAGATAAGAAAATCACATAATGCTCACCAATAGCATAAAGTAATATGGTTTAACAGCCATATTGAGATATTTAGTTGGATCTAGGATGAGATACTTGCAAGAACAGTGGATTCAAAAAAAAGTGTTTCTTAGTGAATGTCTCAAAAAAGCTAATGGTACCATGATGTAACATAATTAGTATAGTCGATACCATTTACTAAGCTGTAACTAATGCATTGCATAAAAGTTTTGCTAAGACATCTAAAATATAACCCAAAAGGAAGTAGGAACTGAAGTGAGACCAACAGGCCAGTGGCCTAGCGGTACCAGCCTCTTACCTCCCAAAGGGAGGTTAGAGGTTCAAGTCTCAGAAGAGACGTGTGTGTGAGTACCAACTAGGAAAAAAAAAAAGGAACTGAAGTAAGTTTTTATTTTCCTTATATCTTGAACCATCAACCAACCTGTTGGAAAATAACTGAACAACAGAAACTTCATAAGAGGGAGGAATCACAATATTTAGTTTTTCATTCTAGTTACGAACGCAGTATCCAATTCCCAGTCAGTAATTTTATATTCATTCAATATCATGTGCTCAGAAATATTTGATCATATAATAAATACAGTTATAAAAGGAAATTATATTTATATTCGTTGCAATATGCATACACGTCCAGTTGAACATTATTTCACTTCTATAATATTTCAAATGCTACCAATTGTAATATCGGAACCAAGTTGTATCAAATGCCCATTGGCACCGTACTTGAGACTACTAACTAAAATCATTTAAATGCACTAAAGTAGGATTAACTCAAAAGGACGCGTCCTCTCTCAGAACCTATGGAAATTGTGCTGGTATGCCAACTTAAAGGCATAAACATTATACTCACACCAAGAACAGCTTTGTATAAGGTGCCCCGGAACCTTTTTTTTTTTGGATGTGTTACAAAATTTGAGAAGAAAAAACATTCCATGGAAAAGGGTTGTCCAAATTTGGCTGGTATAAAATAAGAAAATAGTAAACTAATAACTTGGCATATTTCTGGGAAGTGGCAATACAATCTGGGTCCCAACTGAAACGTGAGGAATGAAATATGGGCAGGTTGACCCAAATTCGGCCCCAACCCATCCAATATTTTATGGGCTCAGGCAACCATTATTACAATTAGAGTTAAGCTCAGTGTTATTAAAGGCGCTAGGCGCACTACGGCGCTAGAGTTCCCTTGGAGCCTAGTCGTGAGGCGTACGGCAAGGCACACGCCTGACTGATGTGAGGTGCACAAGTAAAAATTTAAAACAATAATTCTCAACAAAAAAAACACAATTAAATAATAAACATCCAGTAATATAAATACTAAATATATCACAGTTAAACCAATAAAGCAGCAGGCAAAATAGCACAATTAAAACAATTAAGCTCCATTAAGAGAAAAGCAGCAAATGGAAGATATTTAGTTTCAGTTTTGAGTCATAAAACCAAACAATCTCAAGGGACCTAAAAAATTCAGCAAACAACATTCAGCAAACAACATGCAGCAAGATGCATTCAACATTTCAAATAATCTAGCAAAATCCAGCAAACAACATTCAGCAGAACTTAGCAAACTGCATTCATAAAAATAAAAAAAAAGGCAGGAATGGTAAATTCATTCAGGAAAATGCATTCAAAATAATTCAGCAAAATACATTCAGATAATTCAGGAAGGAAAAAAAAAAAAAAAAAAGCAGGAAATTTTAAACTCATGCCACTAAGGTCCCCAAACAGTAAAACGCCATGAAAATGCAGCTGGCAGCACTCCGGAGCAAATGAGAACAAAGCAAATCAAGACATACTAAGAAGTTGTCTGGCTAATCCCTTTTCTTTTCTTTTCTTTATTTTACTCTTTTATTACACAAGAAGACAAAGTTCACTGCAACAAACTACTTGGCTACTCCCTTTTCCTTTCTTTTCTTTATTTTATTCTTTTATTGCACAAGAAGACAAAGTTCACTGCAACAAACTACTCCCTTTTCTTTCTTATTACACAAGAAGACAAAGTTCACTGCAACAAACTACTTGGCTACTCCCTTTTCTTTTCTTTATTTTATTCTTTTGCACACGAAGACAAAGTTCACTGCAACAAACTACTCCCTTTTCTTTCTTTCTCTGCTTTTGGTCTTTCATAATTTGTTCCACTCTCTCACGTTTCAATGTTGTATCCATCTTTATTTGACCATTGCTTTTCTTTTCTTTATTTTATTCTTTTATTGCACAAGACAAATTTACAAAAGCTCCTTTTTATTCCAGCACATGGCAAAAGCTGAACAGAACAAAAAAAAAAAAAAAAAATTTAAAAAACAACTTAAAAGGAAGTAAGTGATCAGGCGCGCCTGAGTAAAAGCGAGAGGCGCATCCCAGGCGCGCACATAATGAAGGTCACTGCGCCTGGGCTATCATGAGGCGCAATTCATGCGCCTGTAGGCGCCTAGTGCCTAGGCACGCCCCCAGGTGCACCTTTAATAACACTGGTTGGGCTAAAAAAACCTATAACCCGAACTTAATTTGGGAAGGGCTCAAGTTGATGTTGGCAACCCAAGCCCAAACCTAAATTCTAACATGAATTTTAAATATATAATATTTACCTATAATCGTGATCAACCTTCCTCTTTTTCAGTTTATTTTTCTGCACATCCTGATTTATTGTATACTAATAATTCGGAAAATTGATTTCTTGTCACACTGTGTATAATGTTTTATATATTTGCATTCAATGTTTAGTATCTTTACGTAGGAGTAACCAAACCCGAAGCTAGCCCAAGATCAACCTAATTTTCAGCCCAATTTCTATAACCTGAGTTCAAAAATTTTAACATGGGTTGTGATTGGGTTGGGGAATTCAGACTGAAGGTCAAGTCGGGTTTAGGTTGAGTGTTTTATTAATTAGTTTGGGTCTAGGCTTGCCCCGCAACCTATACAACTCATGAAGGTCAAGTCAGGTTTAGGTTTGAGTGTTTTATTAATTAGTTTGAGTCTAGGCTTTGCCCCAGAACCTATCAACCCATGAAGTTCCACACCTACTGAAACGGAAGGAGTGTCAACTGATATAAAAAAAGGTAAAAATTGGATGAGAAACCACAGTTAATCTAGACAACCCATAAAGTTCTGATCGGCACATGAAGAAAATAGAAAGTATATAAGAAAATAAACAGCAGAGATACTCACTTGTCCACATAAATATGTTTCAGACTTCCAAACTTCGAACATTCATGTTGAACATCGTCTTTAATATCCATATCAAAATCAGGTTCCATCTGCAGAAAATAATATAGCTTTATCATAAACAGTAAAATAAGGATGAAATTGGAATTTCTAAAAGAAGGTTTGGGTACCAACCTCTAATTTTGGATCAAACATATTCTTCAACAATAAGCATTCACTTGGGACCCCAATGGTATCAACTGAAGGTAGTGTGACAGTTGGAACTGAAAGACCTGCACCTGACAATCCTGCAAGTCCAGGAACAGAAGACTGTACAAGAGGAGCAACAAGGGAAGGAACTGCAGGTGCGGCGCCAAGAATTGGTGCAGTTGGTAGCGCAAGGCTAGGACTACTAACAACATGGGTACCTAAGGGACCACCAATGCTGCAGATGATGGATGAAGGTGTAAGATCAAGCAGATTATTATTATTTTCATGAAGTAATTAGAAACTAGGAAGTGCAAACCTTGTAGCGAAGCCACTCCGATCCAGCTTCTGCATGAGGAGTGCTCGAGAGCGTGCATTCAGAGACTGAAAATAGCAGTGTGTCAGCCTCACTTGATAGTCAAAAGATGAGTACACTAGACCCTACTAACTTGCAACAAGAAGCATAAACTTGTTGCAGGTAATTATATACCAACATTAGCGGATATGAGAAAGGAAAAACAAATAACACAGGAGATTAGACCATGCACAGAGTAGGTTGTTATTGCGACCATCTTGTTACTCTGTATAACGACAATCATTATAATTACCAAAACAGTAACAACTCTGTTTGAAAAGAGTCATGGAAGAAAGCATCTTATCAAATGCAATTGAAATTCAGTAACCATGTGCTCGAAAGGGATCTTCCTTTGCAATAATTCTACTGGCAAAGACCAAAGATTTATGATTAATTTCAATTAGGGGGTCTGAATACAGAAGCATCCTACTTAAGAAAACTCCCTATCACAGCCTGACAAGCCTAAAGATTTCACCCTAGTGTAGCATCACACTTGCATATGACAAAGTTGGCAGCCATTTTATTCTCCTATGATACACTGATTCTCCAAAAGTGCGTGAAGTACCCACATTGTATACAAGACACTCTAACAAGGGTATGAGAAATGTGTCCAACACATATAGCTTAAAAGGCAGCTAACAAACATATCCGGTAATTAATGCAACTCTTCTACCCCCAACACCCACCCCCGCCCCCACACACGCACAAAAGAAAGAGAGAAAGAAAACAGAAGGAACTTTGTGGGTCCAGCCTGTGCATTACTGAATTAAATAAATGAAGAAATTATATTAATAAATCCACCAGAAAATAAAAAAAGAGCTTCATTGAAACACTCTTAGCCAAGTATCTTTCTAATAGAAAACTACATGCATCAGAGGGGAATAACTAACCAAACCACCGCCTTCATCATCATCAAAATCACCAGCATTTGCCCCAAAATCTTGCATCCCAGGTTGATCAGAAACAGCTGAAACCTACATAAAGAGAGAAAAACAGATAAAAGATCAAACTCCACGGAAGATGTAAGAGAATTTTTTGGTAAACCTACCAAAAGAAAAGGAAGAATATTTGGTACAATCAGCATTTTTGAAGGTGTAACATGAACCAAGCGAACATACGGGAATGACAGAAGAATGCAACCCAAAACAAAAGAGAAGTACACGTCACTCATGTGGAAAGATGAAGTTGAATGGACTTCCAGGCTTGATCAACTATGTGACCCATTCACAAAACCGGTTACCCAAATTAACAAATAAAAGAAGTGTAGTCTTATTGCTTGGGATTGTTCTGTTGCTCAAAGAGTGATCCAAGACGGTGATTTCAACTTGCACATCAACTTCTCTAAAAGCAACAGAATTTCTCTAGAAACAATATTGTCCTACAATATATAAAGCAACCAACCAACCAACTATGAAAAACACAGCATACCAACCATCAGATAACTACAACTGATTAGCAGTATACATCAGTACAATAGATGAGTAAATTGTAAATTTCATGATGTAATCTAATTTAACTCGTAATGTTTGTTTTGTATTAGTCTATCAAACTGCAGAGACATATGGCCTAAGCCTCTAAAACTACAATTTCGCTTGCTCTTTGTGGGCGGGATCTGGAGAAAGCATTACTGTCATTTGCTTATGGCAATACCAACAGTTAGGATCCTCTTTTATAGAACATTATCCAGCATGGTCAATTGGGCAACAAAATTTACAAACAAGAAAGTATAGCTTTAACTTGTGCCTCTTCACACTTTTACTACATTCCCCATTCAGTATGGCATGTTCCAGTAAACACGTAACATGCCTGCATATTAAAACTATGGAGTCTACAACCAATAAACCTGTATGTCAGCATTAAAAAGAATTAAGACTCAACAGCCAGAGGGAATACCATTACTAGCATTAGATGGAATCAACTTTCATTGGATGAGTCCCATGTACAATCATGCGAGTCAACCTAATTAGGGCCTCCAATCACCGATGTCATTTAAAGATAAATGTCAAAATTTTGTTATTGATTAGAGGATTCAAAACGCACCAACTAATAATAGGCCTTCAAACTTTTTTTAGCCTATGTTCTCAGATTATTGCACAAGTTAATAGCTAGTCACTGCATGCCACAATGCCAAACTAGGTTGTATAATTCGCAACATATTTGCACTGACAACACACGTTTCAATCAAGGCACAATAGAAGTAACTCATCTAAAACATTGCCCTATTACCTAATTTGTGATAGTTTATTCACAATGGATTTCGTCATTACCAATATGATAGTGGATGGAGCATATCATTATTGCTCAAAATCAACACGTAAACATGATATCAATCATCAATTCCAGAAAGGATATGGAACATTTTAATCATCTAAGAACCATATAACTGTCTTTTTTTTTCCCCTTAATTTCAAATTATGCCTCAGTGGTAAGACTTCTAAATGTTTTTTTTTTGTTTTTTGATAAGTGGTAAGACTTCTAAATGTTTCCATAACTCAGCTGAATTTCACTACATGTTCCAAAGTTCTAACTAAAAGGAAAACCTGAATGTCGAATACAACCATATTTCCATATGAAAATTTCAACTGTGTTATGTGTGTGTAAGTTGGGGGGTTTTAGAAACAACTTCCTTACAATAGATCCCTATTGTGAGCCGATACAAGACTTGATGAAGCATTAGACTTCAGAAGCTAGATGTATAGACCAACAATAAGGCATATATGAAAAAGAATAGATTGTTAAGTTACCTTGATAAGTCGGCCTGCAATCTCCAGTTGTCCATTCAAACTCTGTGCAGCCCTAGCATCTTCAAGACGTGCGAACTGCAACCAAAAACCCATAATGTTAACCTACAATCTGAATTGGAACCTCATAGAGCATTTATGCGGGTCATTTTGGAATGGTTTTGGTCCTTTCTATGGCTACTCTTTTACTGCAGTTGTATCCTTTTCTGATGTTGCGGCCATTGTCAGGTCTCACTGCAGCCTTTAAATATTTTTTCCTGAAGTATCTATATCCATTAGATACTTTGCTTTGCTCTTTGATCAGCAAAATTCAACAGGCAGCTTGGCAACATTCTTTTCAAATTGCTCCTACAGAAGCTAAATATTGGAAACCGTACTTACCTGAACAAAACCAAAACCTTTGCTATGTCCCGTCTCAGGGTCACTGGGTAACTGCACCAACTCCACGATACCAAATGGTTCAAAAACCTGAATGTTGAACATAGATAAATTACTTCTCCTTGTGGGAGTAAAAAGAAGCACAGAAATCAATGATCCATACCATCTATATGAAGATAAAAATTGCTATCTCTATTGTCCCAAGTAAAAAATGGAAACTACAGTAATAAAAGCAGGCCTTGCCAGTTTCAATTATTTTTATTATATAGATTAATTAGTAACGGGGCTTGGTGCACTTGTAAAAAAAATTTAGGCCAACAAACAGGCAAGTTCAAATTTGAGAGCAGCCCCTTTGTACAGAATCATTTTGACGGTTTAATACTTTAATCTATCTCTAGTCCACCACTTCCAAAACCCTGTAGGCAGGAACAACACAGCATATGGCTTTTCTACTCAAATCAATTTATAATTTTATTTCAGATTAACCTTCTACATCACACCCCAATAATTGGGGAAAAGCTTGGCGGTGGTTGTTGCTGTATTAATCTTCTACATCACATTCAATTTGCCTTTTCTTTAAAATAAAGAAAAGAGTGCCAAAAACTTTTTTTTACCAATAAATAAAGAAATATCATTAGAAGCACCTAAGAGGGGGCACAATCCAATAATAAAGGCAGTATATAAAATAAAAAATAAAAAATAAAAAATAATTGATAAGTCAATCAGTATATAAAATATGGCCTATTTTATATGGCCAGTACAACTTCAGAAAACGACTAACCGCCTGTAAAAAACACTGAATTTGATCGACTCACCAAGAATGCACTAATACCATATAGCTGGTTTTATCATATCAATTCTTTTTGTAATTCCAGATCACAAATTTGCAACCTATCAAAATATGTTTTTGAATTTATTATTTTGCTTTTATTTTTAAATATTAGGATGCTATGAGATCCGATGTCACAGCTCAACAACCAAGCCAGAAGGTAAAACTGGTGAAGCTTAACCCAGTCATATACCGCATGATGCATGAACTGATTAAAAAACCCATCACGATCAATTATATAGTGAAGTTCAGGGTCATTCAATGCCCTAAAGCAAAAGATGAAAAATTAACTTCTGAGTTCTGATATAGATAGGTAGATTATAAATCTGCTTAGCTAAATAAATAAAAATAACGATCTAAAGACCATGTTCTTACCTGACGAAGTTGGTCTTCTTTTATATTGAAATGCAGATTGCCGATGTACAGCCTTCTAGCTCCCCCCGAATAAGGGCCGATAAGCCCACCAACCCCACCAGCCACAGATGTAGTCGACTGAACCAAATTCTTTTCAGCTTCTGAAGGTTTAACCATCACTGGTTGCCCAAGAAGAGGCTGACCAGAAAGAGCTATTGCCATAGGGACTGACATTGAATCAAAAAATTCAATGTACCTGCAATGAGACATGTTAGCATCAAGATGCACTGATAAATGGGATGAACAAAAACTGGAAGAAAGTGAAGATAACTATGAAATTAGCAAATTCTATTGCACACTGCCCTTCACATTTTCAGTTATTATTATTATTTAGATTTTTTCTTTTTTTTTTAAGAACACCCAAATGCCACTAAAAAGGAAATATTATCACGAATAACTGAACAACTATCCTTTCCTTTTTTTTTCACAATATTCACTTTAATCAATTCAGAACCTCAAATAAATTGCCAATCTATTGCCGCATTGCATACAACCAAAAATTTGACCAATTTATCTGAAGGAACATCGACCAACCACCAACTAAGCTTCAGAACTATCAAATTCCAATTAATGTGATGTTTGTAGTCTTCTGATAACTTTATCCTCAAATTACCTTCTATTGAATTACTAGCACATATCCTAATCTGATTCTCTCCCTCAGTTGACTCTATGTTATCCTGAGGTTTAACAGATTCAACACTACAATATGCAATGCAAACAAGGAGAAAAACTTCGGGGCTGTTTGATTATGTTCTGTGAAACAGTTCTCTTATTAGAGAACCAGAAAACAGAAAAGGCTCGAAAATTCATTTTTAAATCTATTATCTAAAATATATATATATATATATATATATATATATTACCCAAGCCAACATTCTATCTATTCTTTGAAACTCTCTGTCTTAACTATTCTTGAAAAATGTTTTCAAATACTTAACAAGGAAAAACAAAAATACTGTTTTCAAATAACAGAATGCGTTACTGTATCTCCCCTCTTTGTTATTATGGCTTTAGAGTTTATATATTACATAGTGATGTCAAGATATGATCTTCAAATTTTATTTCAAGATGCAAAATCCTACACAAACTTGATGGTTAGTATTACATATATGAGTAAAAAAAGTCATTCAAATATTAAATAATTTACAAGTTCATGCAGGAAGGGTGAAATTTACCCGACTCCCTTGGAACGTCTTGAATTGCGGTCCATTATGAGGCGTACATCTCGCACCTGAAATTGTAATTTAGAAGAATTAGGATTATTACAAATGATATTACCAATTCACAAAACAATAATTCTTCATACAGTACCATCATTGCCAGTACATTTTCATTTATCTCATAAATATTTCATTCAAATTAGTCCAGATTTTTCAATTTCTCATATAACATTTCAGAATTTTAAACAGTGATAAAATCAATAATAAATTTCATTTGACCCATTTGCAGAAGTTCTTTTTATCAAATCAAGTAGTCAGTTTCTTGTTCACAAAAGCTATGATGATGGCAGTAAGAAATACCCAGGGGCAAAGGTAAGCACCCAAAAAAATACCAGCTCTGTTGAAGTGATAAAATCAATAATAAATTTCATTGGACCCATTTGCAGAAGTTCTTTTTATTAAATCAAGTAGTCAGTTTCTTGTTCACAAAAGCTATGATGATGGCAGAAAGAAAGACCCAGGGACAAAGGTAAGCACCCAAAAAAATACCAGCATTGTCGAATGGAGAAAACCCCGACAAATTGGCGAGAACAAATTTCACTTGTGAACCGGCCCAGAACCAATCAACGACTCAAACCAACAGGTTCAACCAGTTCACAGCTGATTCTTTTTTAAATGAAAAGGTACCAAGCTACCATCCACTCTCAGTGCAAGTACTTTACCACTCAACCACACGTGACCCTAATTAGTGCAAGTCTTCTATTTAAACAATTCAAAAACTTGAGTTAATCATTTTTGTAAACAAGCAAGCCAAATTCAGGTTCTTCGGAATCGAAACTGTGACCAATCCACTCCTGCTGCAGGTACTTTACCACTCACCCACGTGCAACCCTATGTCATTATTAATGCTATTTTTTTATTAACCACTAATGTATATAACTGAGTGCAAAGGTTTGATTTCAATTCAACGGTGAGTTCAATTCATTTCCTCCAAATCTGTCTTTGACAACGACTTCCATGAATTAGAGTCGGTGTACAATTAAATCAAATTAAAATTGAGTCCAAAGGGAAAAAGGATACTTAGTATCATTGAATGTGTGGTCCTAAAGATTACTAATAAAGTTGAGGGTCCATCTTAAACACTGACAATTTTTTTGTTGCATTCTATGAAAGTGACTTCAAGGGGTAACATAGTGCAATTTTAGACAAACCCTAATATAATATTACTCCCTTTCTGTGACAATTTTTACCACAAATTCAAACACTATATAAGGCCACCATATATGATATGAAGCATCCACGATCAGAATGGATAAATAGTGAATAATTGGAACATCAGAGTGGAAAATGTCTAAACATTCCATTTCTATACTAAATCTATTGAGTCCTAAGGGAAGAAGGAACCCTAGTTTCATTGAATGCGTGGTCCTAAAGATCACTAATGAAAGGTTTGGTCCACCAACTTTCTGTTAGAAAATGAGGATCCATCTTAAACACACTGAGATTTTCTTTCCTGCTTTCCAAGAAAGTGACTTCAAGGGGTAACATATTGCACTCTTCATGTGGCGCATCACTTCAACTTCTTTGCGAACTAAGCCAATTGACATTAAGACTGATATTTTTTGGAATTCTAAATGGGGTTTCCGCTGGTTTTCTCAACTTAAGCCTAGGATTTAACTCCATCGGCTTCTATCAGGTGCACTCTGCTACCTTACAATGTGATTAACGCATTTATTTGTAATATGATAATCATTAAGAAGATCAAACCCCTCATATAATTTTGTTCTTCCTAGAAGTAAATTAAATCACAAAGAAATAACGTGTCTAGAAAATTTCCGAATATTGTATAACTTTGATGCTTCAAATATTCACTATTTATCTATTCTGATGGTCTGCATCATATCATTTACGATGAACCCATTTAGTTTCTGAATTTGCGGTAAAACTTGTGTCATACAAAGGGAGTAATATTATAATGGGGAGATGAGAGGAGGGTGGAGCTCTTTGGAAGTTAGAAATCCTCGGGGGGTGGGAGTTTGGAAATTTATTCGGAAGGGTTGGGATGATTTTTCCAAGCACATTCGGTTTTGTCTTAGAGATGGGAGGAGGATTTGTTTTTGGGCGGATGTGTGGTGTGGTGATGCTCCTCTTGCTCTTGCCTTTCCTCAGCTTTACAGGATTGCTTCGGATAGGCAGGCCTTGGTGGTTAACTGTTATCATCTTGATAATGGGAGACTGGTTTGGGATGTTCAATTCAGGCGTGCCTTTCAGGATTGGGAGATTGATGAGGCAATTCGTCTCTTGGAGTTGTTATATCGCCAGAGGATTGTGGTGGAGGATTCGGATTGTTGGTATTGGGTCGCAAACTCCAAGGGGCGTTTTGAGGTGAGGTCTTTCTTCAAGTGCCTCTCTTTTGATCCTGGAGTTCGTTTTCCTTGGAAGTCTGTTTGGCGTTCTAAGGCTCCTCTCAAAGTGGCTTTCTTTGTGTGGACTTCGGTTCTGGGTAGGATCTTAACCCAGAATAATTTGAGAAGGAGAAGCCAGGTGGTGGTCAATCATTGTTATATGTGTCTTCGTGATGAGGAATCTGTGGATCACCTTCTTATTCATTGCTCTTTGGCTAGAGAGTGTTGGGATTTGATACTTGGCTTATTTGGGTTTTATTAGGTTATGCCAGGATCTACTAGAGAGTTGATTGAGATGTGGAGAGGTTGCCATGTGGGGGCTCTCAGTCAGGATGCGTGGAGAGCTACGCCGCTTTGTGTGTGGTGGTGTATTTGGCTTGAAAGGAATAGGAGATACTTTGAAGGAAAGGCGATGTCAATTTCGGTGCTTAAATTCTCGATTATTTCAACTCTTTTTTGTTGGGTTTCAGGGAGAGATCATAGATCATTGGGGGAAATTGTTGATTTTTTGGCCTCTTTGAAAGCTTGAGTCCTTTGTGCTCTTTTGTATTTCTTTGGGTTTCGCTCCCCTCTTGAGCGTCTTTTAAAAATATTCTTTTATTTATCAAAAAAAAATAATAGGGGTGTCACACAAAGGGAGTAATATTATATCAGGGGGCATCCAGTAGAGAACAAGCAGGTGGGAAAGAGCTGGAGGTCCTTTTTAATAAGGTCAATGATTTAAAATTCATAAATAGATCAATTGTCTTTAAAATTCATTAAAAATCACTATAATTCACAGAAAACCGATTTTTATTAGATTATGTTTTAGAAGTAGACTATTGTGCATTTTGGGTCTTATGTCCAAGGTAGAAAAAAATTCCCAACTGTGATAAACGATTCCGTTATGTTACGCCGATAAGAGCCCGTGTCAGCAACTGTGAACCATGTTATCCACTCTAAAATGTACAAGCCATGCTTATAATAATTCATACAGACAAGATAATTTTGATAATGAAGTTAATATCAGATCACAAGCCATATAAGGACTATAATTAAACAAGAACTCACCTTCCCAGCCCGTGAGAAGAAATCATACACGTCTCTTTCATCTGCCTTCAAACTGATCTGCAAAAATCATATGCAATAAAATTTAAGTTAAAAAAAACTACAAAAGATATACTCAAATAGAACAATTCAAAATCAAACTCCAATCGTATTTTTGCCATTACCTGATAAGCAAAAACAGTGCGCTGATCCCGCTCAGGATCAACCTCTGGCTCTGCCACTTCTTCCTTTTTCTCTTTATGACGTCTGAAAGACAACAAAAATCACAAAGAATATCCTGAATTTATTGAACAGTAATAAAAATAATTATGTGAAAAGTATGAAGTGGAAAAGACTGGAACATTTATAAAGCAAACTTGGATATGAATGTTCCCTGAAATGAAATAAATATTCATGTTGCAAAAAGCCTCAAATTACTAAACAACAAAAAAAAGAAAAAGAAATCCCAAAATGGCAGCAAAATTTTCTCCAGTATGTGTATAAAGGCCGAACCCATGAAAAATAGTCCTGCAGGGAACTGCACGAAGTTAACTGATGGGACCAATGTACACAATTGGTGAAATTAAGAAACATTTCATTTCAAATTTAATGAGAACCAACCTGGGAATGAAGTAGCAATTAAAGGAAATGGGTATATTGAGACCAAGTAGTGAACTATGTTTCCAACTTCAGGCATTGTATTAACAACAGGTTTTGTCCCCTTCTATACACACAACCTAATCTAAATGGAAACAACATCATGAAGTCATATAATTGCAAGTACTAAAGAAGGATATAATTAATTTGAAAATGCATCAATTGAAACCTGATATTCCATGATAATCATATTCACATAAAGATGAGAACATAAAAGGCTTAACATCCATTGACCCATTTGGCTTATCAGTTATCACCACTATGACTAAGTAAGAAATCACAGTACACGGCTAGCATAAACCAGAAGGTGTTCAGCAGCACGAAACAGAATTAACAATCATGGATATGATTTAAAAAGTTAAAAAATGCATTTACGGTCTTGTGAACAAAAAGAAAACTAACTTGAGAAAGATCGCATATCTGCAAGACATTATTGCAAAATGAGAAACTGCTGCCTCTAAATATTCAGACTGTATTATTATATTCTTTTGGAATTTCAACTTTGTACTCTGATGACCACATAAATCCGGTGTACAAAATGAAAAATAACAAACAATGCAAACTGCTCTGAAGTTTTTGGTTCAACATTACAGCATTACACTGGAAACAAACAAGAAAAATCACAACAGTTCCTCCAAATGTAAATTGATGCTGAAAAAATTTGCAACCGACTGTCCGGTTGCATAACAAGTAGACTCCAGTATAAAAAGAAACACAGAAGTAGTGCAACTAAAACTATTCAAAAAGGCCTTAATTGGGGGCAAGCATTGGCATCAAGAAACCTGTAACTTTATGACAGGGAATGAGACAACATAATTATGATATTTAAAAAATATGCTGCAAAAAAATTGTGGCCAATCTTGTAGCCAACTGAACACTGAATTTCCACAAGCATCAGAAGATGAAGTGCTTCTGTTAAGCAAAGCCCATCACTCCCTCACCAGCATTTCTGCAACAGAATAAATATAATTAAGCAACTAAGCTCAGAGGTGGAGAATAGTGAAAATCATAAAATGACATCACCACCCCGGTTTAGACCTCCAACATTGAAACCCCAAATCTTGCAATGCAAGCATTTAAACAGATCCCAGAGAGTTCAGGAAGGAACATTTAAACCCATGACCTGAGTGTTCCTGAGCCTGGCTCAGTTGCCAGAATGACCATCTGAAGATTGCTCTAGCGTATCTGCGAGTTCCCAGAATCTACGTTCAATATTCAGAAATTCTAAGACTGTTAAATAACACAAGTAACTATACAAAACTCGAGAACTACTCGGGAAACATTTTATTTAGATAATAGTATGAGGCTCATTAAGCAAGCAAGGAGGATTATATGGGTGAAAAGAAGTGGATTAAAAAAATCGTCACTGACAGTGTTCATTATCCATATAATTCAGATGTGCTTCCACATACAAAAGGAAGATCAGAATCGAATGGGAGTCGAGGATAAAAAATAACAAGAAAAAAAAAAATGAAACCTAAATGTAGGGAACTGGGACTCTAAATAACCAATGTTTTAGCATCAATAATGCCTATGGTACCACGGATGACGGAAAATGATCATATCCAATAAATGAGCCTTCTATTGAGACCGCATGCTTGTTTAAAATTAATTCACTTTGGTTCTGAGATAATATAAAAGCCAACCTGATTGATACTATAGTGCATATGATTTCCTTTTCTCTCATTCACCTTTTTGGCAGTCTTTACAAATTTGCTTTTCATCCTAACTAATACAATAATTATATGACTTGAAAAATTATGGACTATTGCACCACTCAACAATTGTACACCATCGGTCAAGAAAATTGACAGTAATACCAAGTGCAGTATCTGAGAGGTGCCTCGGGGTTTCACAGCCAAAATTGCCTCAACCACACTTCTCCTATGAATTGTGTTGTCCATAATTTTTTTTATCTTTTTGTTAAGTAGCAATTACAATTACTTTCACATGTATTTTATTTAACTGGAATACCTTACAATGGAACTAAGATAATGTATAGTTTATGCCATGAAATAGGCGGAGGCGGAGGAGGAGGAGGAGGAGAATATGAAGAAGAGGCAACCTAATGAAAGAATCAAAAGACACAAAATATGCTGAAATTACAATGATCACTGTCCTTGGGAAGCCCCAGTAAGGAAACTCAAGGGTCAGTTGAATGATTGGATCACTTATCTATCGGGATCAAGGGTAGATTCTCCTTCTGTTATTAGTACCTACTGCTCCTGCAGGTGTTACTCTCCTTCCCACTTCTTATTGATTATCCAACTGCGCGCTCAAACAGAGAATTGCCATATGGATATATTTAAGACACTGACACGAGTAATTGATATTCTTTAATGTAATTGGCAATTGCTAATGTACACAGAATGGGGCATATCCCGAGTAACTAGAGTCTAGAGTGAGATAGAAGAGCGAGAGTAGGAGATCTTTGCCTCCACTCATGGTTTTAATCATGCATATATGGATATCATTTACATAGATTATATAGTAAATGTATAAGAACAATAGTTTTATCTGCATAAAAAATTCAATGTTGGAGGAATCATCATATCCGTGACGTCTTATTGCTTAAAATTACCTCTGAACGGTATTATATAGTATTAATAGATTACGTTACCCAATTTCCTTCTTTTGTAGCTATTAAATGGATATTTTGAAGTTGAACAGATCATTAACACGGAATTATGAAACTCGTACAACCAACACAATCTCAAATTGCAATTAGTCCAATAGCAGACACGTATAACTATCAAGTGCATGCCAAATTAAACAATTAATCAACTTTGAAACACCAACTGAAACGATATCTACATGAAAATTTAACATTGCAGGTTTTGAATATGTAGGCTGGTGCAAGAAGTTATATAACTTAAATTGTTAACTTCAAACTTGAAATAAGAACATAACCACAAGCAATACCTGCTTTCTCGTTCGCGTTCCCTTTCTCTTAATTCCCTCTCCTTTTCTCTTTCTCTTTCTCTCAACTCCCTGTCCCGACTCCTCTCTCTGTCTATCTCATCCCGATGCCTTTCTGAATGACTTCTGCTTCTACGTGACCGCTCTCGCTCTTTTTCCCTCTCTCTCTCCTTGTCCAATTCACGATCAGGCTCTCTCCGGTCCCGTTCACGATACCTTTCTCTGTCTCTCTCTTTTTCTCTTTCTCTGTCTCTCTCCTTTCCGTTCCTATCCTCCTTGTCCCTGTCTCTATGTTCACGGCTACTCCTGTGCCGATCCCTCTCACTCCTCTCTCCATCTCTGGGAGATGAGCGATGACGTGACGAGCCCCTTTCCCTGTCCCGATCACGAGAATCATCCCCAGACTTCGAGCGCTTTGACCGGTGATCATGATCATCATCGTTCTCATCACTCCTGTGCTTTGAACTCCGTCTCTGGTCTTTCTCCTCAGATTTAACAGGTTCTTCACCACCATTTGCTGTTCCCTTTGATTTCTGAGGTTCCGGATTCTCTACTGTCTTCTTCAATACTGTATTCTCCAAATAATCATACTCATCGAAATCCATTGGACAATCTTTAAATCAAACAATACAAAACAGACAAGATATTAACCCTTGTGGCTGATAAGATCTGCAACATAGTTAAACAGTCTAATAAAATTTCATAACAACTTTTAGCGACAGCTAAAGGAAAGAAAATAATTATGAATTCAAATTCAGTCTTTATAAACAGGAAATTTTAAATTGAACTTTCCAATGTGAATAAAAATTTTATCGCAAGCAGTAATTATCTAAAGCCTCGGGACCAGAACACAAAGAGGTTAAATCCAGTTGAAATCTAGATCATGTCTCCTAAGGTAGCTACAAGATAATATAATTATCCATGTATTATAAATATTTATAAATATATATATACACAAAAATATTCTACTTCACGACTCAGATTTCACCTTTATCAGACAAACAATAACTCAATTGAGTAATCATAACTATCAATTTGCAACGCCAAACTAATCACACTTGTTGTAATGTATTTGAAAACACAATTGACCACCAAAGAAACATAATTGCTTCTGAAATCTTTTCAAACCCCAATTAAAATAATCGATCGAAAGTGGCTTACAGTGCCGTATAAGTATTAATCCCAAAACCCTAGAACAAGAAATCATGAAGGAACAAAAAGAATGTGTTGCCTTTTTACAGTTTGTGAGATTTACCTGAGAGTATGAACAGCGAAGAGAAGAGTCCGAAACGTGGAATGAATAAGAGATATCTACCTCACTGCGTCTGAAGTTGCTGCTTTAGGGCAAGAGTTTCGACAATTTGGGGTCGGCGGGATTTTATTTATAGTATACTGGTTTCGGGTACGGTATGTGAAAGTTAAAACCGAGTGGGATCCTATTCGGCTTCGGTTTTGAACCAGGGTTGGTGAATTGGATCCAATCTGGGTCAAGTTATTCAATCTCAATAACCTCTAAAATTAACATCAAATATGCTCTAAATAACCAGTTGGATAAAAGCATGACTAATACGGGCCATGCTGGCTATGGTTTTTTTTTTCTTTTCCTTCTTGCTATTCTTGGTTGTCTTCAAATAATTTATTATTCTCTACAATAATAATAAATAAATAAATAAATAATTGCATTGCATTGGTTCAATCAAACTCTGATTACTAGTAATTGGAATATATATATGTAAAAAAAAAAAAAAGTAAGTTTCTTTCAAAAGAAGCAATTGTTTATTTATTCTCTTAAAATTTGGATTTTTTTATAACGAATAATAAATCCCTTTGCTACATTAAGTAAACCAATAATAATAATAAAGTTAACTGATCATATAAATATATTCAAGTAAAATGATAATATAAATTAATATGAAATAAATATGAATCAAGATTAACAAATAAAGATAGAGATGTTCACCAATATTTTTTTAAATGTCTGGATTTATTGAAACCACAATAAAATAGAACATATTTTACAATACAAGAACAAAGATGGTTTTCTCGCGGGTGAACAATCTCAAAATCAATTCTACAAGATGTAACTCTTATGGCAAATGAAGAGAAAATAAAATTACAATAAAGAAATTTAACTTGTCTTCCGTTTATCATTACAATATAAAATACGAAGACCATATCTTCATATAGATGACATGTCTTAAAATAACACTTATTACTTTAATATATATATATATATATATATATATATATATATATAATGTTGTTGTTCTGAGATGAAATCCACATGAAATTTAACTAGTACTTGTCAACCATGTAACGTACAGCCCTTTGCTTGAAATATTGTGATAATGAAATCTTGTTCCCTCATCTTATTTATCTGTTTAGGTACTCGTATTTATTAGTCCAATAATTGAAAAGGAATTAAAAAAGAAAAAGAAAAAAATAAGAAATAATTACACTTATCTCTTCCGAGATTGCCTAGATAAATAGAGATTTTCTTTCTAATTTCAAGTATAACATTGCTCACCTCTCTTTTTAGGTTTAAGTAACACTAACCTGTCATAAAATTTGACACTTCAATCTATTTATGTCGTGCTGAAAATTTATTTAGAACTCAAAAATATAATTAGAAAGTTAGAAAATGTTATTTGGTTTATATATTAAACTAATAGAAGTACTCGCAAAAATAATAATAATAAAAAAAAAAAAAACTAATAGGATTATTTAACATATTTAGGTCAGTGTTATTTTTTTAAATCTCAATATTGGTTCCTATTATTTAGGCAATCTAAAAGAAAAGTAAATATAATTATATTAATATATATAATAATAATAAAAAAGTAGTGATACTAGCACAGAAGACTTGCAGTGAAACGCCTAACTGAATAATTTACTTCCTTATTTGTTATATAATTGACCAACTAAAAGAGTAGGTTCCGTAATTCATGTAACTATTCGATATAAAAATTATTTTTCATAACAAAATAAA